TTCAGCATCATTACTCCAGTCTTTAGTGACATATGATCCTTCAGAAATCTTTCTAATATGCTGATTTACGCCTCAAGATACATTTACTTATTTTTATCAATGTTGAAAAAAGGTGTGCTGCTTAATATTTTTTTTAAAACTGTGATGCCATTTTTTTTCAAGATTGTTTGAAAGTTCAAAAGAACAACATTTATCTGAAACCAATTATTTTATAACATTATAAATGTCTTTACTGTCACTTTTGATGCATTTTAAGAAACCTTACTGACCCTAAACCTAAACCCTAAACTTGAGTTCCTTTATGATCTCAAAAGCAGCAGCACTTACTGCCTGGCACCGTATGCCAGTTTGCTCCGTTGATAATGTTATTGTAATGAAGGAAGTCCTCATTGTGACAGGGCCTTCGGTCTGGGTTGGACATCACATGGTTGGTGCTCGCATAAACCGTGGCCAGCCAGCGGAAGAAGCTTTCATCGGGGGTGGGAGTGTGCTCTCTGGGAGCCCAGTCTTTGGTCATATCAAACGGGTATGTGACCACCAGCTCTCCTCCATGGAGGTTAGCGCTGAGAACAAAAGGTATAGTTTGCATCCAACTGATGACGGCTCTCGTTTCTGGAGCCACCTTAAATATAAGACCAAAATAATGGTTTATTGAAAATCATCGGAGAATGATCATTTGAAGCCATTTAAAGATGAGAGGGGTGCTTGTTTTAATCAGTGAGACCTCATACCATAGCATCTTCTGAAGTATAGTACTCTGGAATGGGAAAGTAGTGATTGATTAGTTTAGATTTGTCTGTTTCCAGCTCTATGGCATCCCACATCACTGTGTTCAGATCTGCAAAGTTGTGATTCATGTCAATGCCCTCATAACTATAGCGACCCAGTGACCACCCGGCCAGCTCTGAACCCTGTAAAACAAAGCGTGTTCACAAAACACAGGTGTTGTGAAGTCACTGACTAAATGAGCTTGTTAGTGAATGATAAAAAATGTAAAAAGCACAAAGATTATTTCTAAAGGTTATTTAGTATGTAATGAATGGCTTGATGATGATATGATTTGAATCATCTCATTAACATGTACATTACCTTTCAAAGTTTGGGGTCAGTAAGTTTTTCTTTTAAGATCAAATACATGCAGCCTTGGTGAGCATAAGACTTCTTTCAAAAACATTTTAAAAATCTTACCGACCCCAAACCTTTGATTAGTACTGTAGTGTGTTAATGGAGAATAATTTTGGAAACAGCAGAATATCCATAGCTTTCCCCACTCTACCTTCTTGTAAGCCATTTCATAGCCATCAGGGTTCATCGAGGGCAGGAGATGGATGCGTGTCTCTTTGACTAGGTGAACAATGCGCTGATTTCCACATTTGTACTCATGGCATATGTACTCCATCAGGTTGAGCAGTAGTTCCCTGCCGAGCACTTCGTTCCCATGCATACCGGCCACATAGCGAAACTCAGGTTCACCTGCAGGGGGAGCCAAAATGCCTTTAGATTGTCATGCTCCTTCACGGAAAAGAGATTAAGTGTGTGCAGCTTTTAGGAGTGTTATGGTATACAGATGTACAGATTGGGGGCTCTGTTTTGAAAAGTAACTCCATGCTTTGCACAGATGCCTCTCCACCTCCCCTATAGAGTGTGCTAACAGAGAAGTCTGAAATCTGGCACCCTTTCTCTAGCAGTTCAGAAAGCTCTGCTTGTCTGTTTTGTTTTGAAGTTCAAAGTTTTTTTTAATCATAATTTGTTGGGTCTAATGTGTGTGGCCAACATTTTTTTAATCAGTTCTCTCTGGTGGGAAGAACAAAATAGGCATAATGAAGAACGTCTTAAATGTTAGGAAAGTGTCAAGATTTAAATATTGCCCTTTACATAAGTTCAACCAATAAACATTAAATTTGACTCTTTTTTGACTCTATTTGCACTTCTGTATTTTCTTTATTGGTAGTTGTCAATTGGTTTATGTCCAATTGGCATGGATGTTTACAGTTTCAGATCATATTGTAGAAATACCCTTGTTGCAACCGTAGTAGTATTCATTCATGTGATCTCAACATGGCCACCATTGTGTAAAATTAAAACAACCTTTTTAAGTCATTAATATGACTGGAATCTCATGTGTGGTTAGACCACTATAAACATTTGTATCATGCATTTCTTTTTAGTGTAAAATTGGAAATGAGGGGAAAATGTTGTAAAACATTATGTTGTGTATATATTTTGGAGAATGTTAATAAATTAGTAGGTTGAAAAATTAATTTATTATATTTAAATTAATCTGTAGTCAACAGTTTCTATCTCAGAAAACTAAAGCCATTCTTCCATTATATAAAATGCCCTTTTTCCATTATAAGATCATGAAATTTAGAACACAATGATTTATTCCCCCTAAAAACAGGTACATTTAATATTGGCTCTGAATTTTTAAGCAAAAACAGGAAATATGTGCAACTGAGCTGCATCTGTGCATATCTGACCAAGCTTGGCTGATTTATTTCTATAAATATTGATTCGGCTTGCAGCTTGCTGCCTCTTTGTCAGCCAAGTTGCGTCTGTTTTGACAGTGAAACTGGGCGTCATTAGGTTCAGGTCCTCTGCAAGGTTAAATTCCCCCTCCTCTGTTTCTGCACTATTTGGCTAACAGTTGACCCATTCAGTCTCAGCAATCTGGCTCTCGTTAGCCTTGCTGAGAAAACATCATCCACCCCGCCAGAGAGGAGGAATTTCCAGAGGTGTAACTAACTGAACTTTGACCCCCACATGCAGACCACATCATTGATATGCCATTGATTTAAATGCAGTGAGTCTGGAAAACCCCTAAAACAACAATGCTCTTAAAAATTAAGGTTCCAAAAGGTGGTTTTTGCAGCGATGAACCATTTTTGGTTCCCCAAAGAACCTTTCAGTAAACAGTTCTTAAAAGAGTCACTTTTTTCAGTGTGAAGACTATTTAATGATCTAAATATAATTTTTCCACTATAAAGAACCTTTTGTGCAATAGAAAGGTGCTGTGGATGTTAAAGGTTATTCATGGAACCATAGAAGCCAATATAGAATTTATTTTGAAGAGAGAAGGATCTAAATTGCATGAAGCGTACAAAGCAAAAAGGATAATATAATAGGAGTGTAACGGCACATAAACATGACGGTTCGGTATAGTTTTGGTACAGCAGGGCGAAAAATAAGTAAGTAAATAAATAAATAAATATATTAAACAGTTGTTTGCTGAACAAATTGCTCTTTCTTTAAATACATTCAATTATAATTAAAACTTTCTTAGGGATAAAAATCTACCTCAGCTTATGCTCTAAACTATAGTGAGCCCTTTTATATTACTATAAGGTTACAATTAACAACAGAGCACAAACTGAAATTTAATTACTATTTATTTTTAAATATAATAATCAACACTCAAATTTTTTTACACAAACATGTAAATTGCACATAATGCAGTTTTTAAATTAGCATTTAAATTATAACATTTCTTTTTGTTGTTGAAATACACAGTGGCTGCCATAACTTGTTTCATAACAGATTTATTTAAACATACATTAAATAAGACATCACTAACAGGTAAAGTAAAATATAATAAGTATATAGTCTTAATATTTCACGAAATGCTCTTCTCTTGACTAGATTGATGAATTGCCTGAGGTAAATGAAATGCTTTTGTTAAACATTTTGTTTACAAGCTGTTTTATTGACGTCTTTCCACGGTTGAAACACTGATTGAGCGATTACATGAGGCATGGGATGTTCATTCATGTTTATTTCGCGTTAAGACTAACTAAGAGCCGTTTGAACTGAGGCGTTTATACAGCGATCATTTATTGTTTGAATTTCCTGAAAAAATTGACATAATTTGAAAGATGAGACTTTTTCTAATCAAAAGTAACAATATATAAAACGCGAAG